CATTAACCTTTAATGATAGGATCTAAGAATTTGAACAGCTCTTATCCTGTTTTGCAAAGTGTTGCTTTGCTTATCATTGTCAAACAAGTAACTGACTCCTGTATACAGAGTACACACAGAACAGTAATTCAGGGCACTCATTCTTGCATTTAACCACAGTTGTTGCTCCTGAAACATTCCAGAATGTACATGACCATAATATCGGTTTTGTTTTGCTCAGCAGCTCTGTTTGATGCACAAAGCAGCATTGTTGTTGAGCTGTTTCTCTAGGAAAGGTGTCTGTCGTGCATGTACCACTCAAAGCAAAGGAGGCTTGCACACGCACACGCGCACATATGTTCCCTTCGGCGTTAAGCATCGAGTAGTTCATTCCTGCTGCCTGTCACATGAGAGATAACCTCTTGCTGACCTTGACTTTAATCATAGAACCCTTAATGTCACAGGCTGCGCCAGATATGCTACTAAAGCTCTGTCACTTCATTGTCTGCTTCATTGTAAACTGTTCAGTCCACCTAACACGCACAGTATAATCATATCATTTACCTCGAATTGAGCCACACCCAGAGAGTTCCTCAGCCTGCGTGTTTGTGTTTGTGTGTGTGTGTGTGTGCTGTTAGACCCTTTGTTGTTTTCAGTATAGACATTATAATTCTTTTCATCCGTGCTGATTTTGATCTTGATTTAAGAGCATATGTGCACAATGTGGCTGTCCTGCTGAAACGGCTATTTCCATATTGGGCTCCTTGTTTCCTTAAGGCTGTGGATCCTTCTGCTATCACAATGCCAGGAAGAGTTTGGACAGCAGAGTGGCGTCTCTGACAGCCTTCTTTGTCTTCACTATCACCACTATCAATGAATATCTTCCGCTCACCACAGTCTTCTTGCTGACTCCTCGGCAGCTCTGAATGTGTTGAAAACCGAGGTTGAGACTTCCTGATAAATTGCTTCCCCATTAACAAAGAAGTGTCTACATTTTCAGACAGTAAATTTAAGACAGTTTTGTCTTAAGTTGAATTTGGGGGAAAATGTGTAACGTATGTAATAATAACATTAAAGACATTTTAATTTATAGTTTCTGTATTAGTTGTTTCTCTTTTTATTCTTTTTTGTATTAGAGCTGCACGGTTCTGGCTAAAATGAGAATCGCGAATTTTTTTTATTTTTTATTTTTTTATTTTTTTTTGTTGCTTAAAATAAAGATCACGATTTTCTCACAATTCTGTAGATTTAAAATGAAGGTATGGTAAAAACAAACATATGGCACAACCTCGATAATAATATTATGTGTAGGTCTACTGGTTTCTATAAATAATTCTATTCTATATTAATCTATTCTTGTAATAATTCCGATGTTGAATTATTATGTTTGAGATATATGCTTGCAATCTGTCATATTAGACAATTTAATTTACTGGTAAAATCAGACATTTGCCATTATCAGATTATATTCAACAATATATAGGCTAGAGTAGTTATACTGACACTAAGCATTTATTTTCATGCACAACTGTGGGTTCGCTATGAAATAAAAAACATATCGAATGCTTGTCGTAATCATAACTCTAAAATATATGATCGTTTAAATGAAGTGCACACTTTCGGTTTCATTTTGACTGCTAAGTACTTGTTCATGCTTCGCACACGGCTCCCAAACGATCACTCTGTGCCACAAACTGAATATTATTTACAACTGTATTACCTGTCTCTCGCAGCATATGCAGGTTCTGTTCACTAAAGTAGACGCGCGCCCGCCCTCTCTGTGATAACAGCTCACGGTCAGCCGATCACGTCACGTGTGATTTTTCCGATCGCGAAAACATCATTATATTAAAACAAAAATTACGTTTTTAGGTGAATTTTACCTTCTAAATACAGTATGTGACTCATTCAACATCATTTGGAGGTGTCAATGTCACTGAGCAACGTGTGTAAAACAATGAAAAGACTCGTGCAGCCACCTTTTCTTCTCTCCTGAACTTGAAAATGTGATTGGCAGAATCGTAGAAATGCTGGATTAAGATCATTTAGGAGGAATCAAGATCGCAATCTTTTAACGATTAATTGTGCAGTTCTAATTTGTAAATTGGTCTGTATAAGAAAGTCCTGTAGCGTGTAAAAAAATTATTGGCCCAATCCCATCTCTACCACTTAGCCCTTCCCCTTACTCCTAACCCTCGTTTTGCGTGTGCCCGTGAAGGGGTAGTGGTGTCCCAATTCTCTTTAGCCTGAAGGTGTAGGGTTAAGGGCAAGTGGTATACACCCCTTCAAACGAAAACTTTTCAGGACCACACTTGAAACCAAGGGGTAAAAAAAAATCCCAGAATACCCAAGTAACAGCTGCACTCGGAAGTAAGCAGATCCACAAATTAGTATATTTTTTCATTATTACGAATTTTTACAACAAACACATTTCAATATATTCATAACCGTGTTCATGTTTTACTGTAATGCTTTAAAAAAAAAAACGCTAAAATAAAAACCGCTTAATGTCGCGATCTATTAGCAATATATAATCCCTAATAATAACTCTTGTACAGCAGTCCCAAAACTTTGTCACTCGATGACACTGGAATACCCTGCCTAAAAAGTCTAGTGGCTGTCAATGAGCTTTTTACAGTGTCTGCTATAATGTTAATGCTGTTTTTGTGTGTTTACAATTGAGTATGGCCACTTTGTAAATGCGCAGTATTATGATCTTATTGCCACATTAGATCATTATGATAATATAATATATGCCTTGATCTTGATGAGTGATTTCCTGAAGTTAAATACCGAAAAATAACACAACTGGAATAACTCCAGCAGTCGCGATCGTTTGATCTCATATGAAGCATGAAATCGCGAGGACATATGATGACTTGTGCAAATGCTGTAGTGCTGTCCCAATTCTTAGGGGTACATTTTGAAGCCCTTCCCCTTAACCCTCGTTTTCAATGGCCAAGGGGTAGGGGTACAAAAATAGAATTGGGATTGGGCCATTGCTAACAAAATGTGTCATGCATTCATAATAATTTTATAATTGATTCCTTCCCTGCTGAAATGTAATGTAATTAAATCCTGAGGAAAATTTTTGGATTTCTAATACAAAAGCTTAATAATACATTTTATTAGCCCGATAAAATGTTTTATTTTTTCTCTCTCTCTCTCTCTTTTTTTTTTTTTTTTTGCATTACCACACTTTCAGGATGTTGTTTTCTGTTTGGGTAATTGATTACTATATTACAAATATGTTTAATGAATTTATTACATAATGTATTGTATAACCAAAAAAATATATATATTAAAGGTGCAGTATGCAAGTTTGACATACAGTGGATATTGTGCTCCTAGATCAAAACAAATGCAAGTACAGTTGCCAGATTGGGAATAGGAGTGAGTGATTTAAACTGTGTTGTAAATTAAAGCAATGGCATGCGATAAAAGGAATATTTTCCATAGTTTGAGTTTTTGTCCTAACCAACACCTCGAATTAGTTATATTAGAAACTGCTTCTATTTCTCACTGGTGAACAACAGAAAACTAACAATGATTACCTCACAAGGCCTGAAATTGCGACCATTTTGGATGCATATGCGCCCAAAAATTTATCTTTGTGTCCTCAATGTATTTGGGAGCATTTGTGCGAGTGCGTAAATTTGTTGTTGTTTTCATAGCAAAATGTTCACCACATGCTCAGATTTAGGAGGCATTCACGCATTATGCATCTTTGCACTTAAAAACATAGCTGAAAAAACGCAGCGCTCAGGATTTTTTTAAAACAGTTGACATGTCAACTTGCTGCAGTAATTAAAGCCTGCAATGCTTGTCCCGCCTTTAAGCTCTTATAAGCTCCTATTGCGCTAGAACAGAACGCGAATGGATTGGTTAATATCAGCTGATAATCACTCAGTTCAGATGACAGGGAGCTACAGCAGCCAAAATGTAAAGGTCTGGATACGAGAGAATAAAAACAACTCTGACAGATTTAGTTTTAGAAACCACCTAAAGTTACAAATAATGGCACATCTGATTTGTGGTCTTGTAATAAATGTCAATCCAGCATTTACAGTTTTCGAAGAGTGTATAAAAGACTTCCAGGGTTTAAAGTCTGCTATGAAAATAACTAAAGCATTCACTGTAAAGCCGGTGGGACAGAGTTTTCAGGTAACCGTGTTTACCACTGAATCTATGCATTTTAAGCACAAGACGTTCTAACGTTATTTAATCCTTCATTTAATCATCACAATCCTGTCAGTTGTGCGACTGACACCGCGTTCACCATCGCTTTTTGGTGAGTGCAACTAAATTTTTGTCTGGCCTACATTTTTGAAGTTAGGAGCACCGGTGCTACCAAGAAAAAAAAAAGTTGATTTCAAGCCATGCCTCGGGTACATCTCATGTGCTTTATTCAGTGTTTAATGCTAATAATATGAGTTTGAATGCCATTTTACATGACATTTATTGCCTTACTACTGAAAGCAGCAGTAGATGGTTCTCACTGATCTTGAAAATAAAATAAACCATTTGAGATTTACTTGTATGTTTAGTTCTAAATAAACTTTAGAACTAAACACATGAGAGTAAGCATGTGCATTTAATAATGTTTAAGACGTTTAATATGTAATAATTAGATGATAAACTAATTTCTGTCATGTTTCGTCTTGTGCAAACAACTAAATTGCCTGTCACTGCGTATCGTCACGAAACATACAGCACATTTGGATACAGAAACACGTCTTCGGCCCTGACATTTATTGAAATTTGTTGAGGATGCTCACCCCCCCTCACACTTTACTGCTTTATCTGTCCTGATTCACTATGCATGTATGCATATGCAGTTTTCCATGTGCAGCTGTTTTGTCTATTATAATGAAATTCCACCATACCGGTGTTTGAATATGTGCTCAGAGAGGCATGTTCTTTCAGTTGTGTAAAAAGCACTTACCGCAGCCCTTTTTTTAATCCACAGTTATAAGGCCTGGTTATCAAGAGAACTAATTAGGCTTCTCTTTGTTTTTCAGAAACCGAGCGATAGCTGATTACCTTCGTTCCAATGGATATGAAGAGGCATATTCAGTTTTCAAAAAGGAGGCGGAATTAGACATGGTGAGTGTGGGAACCCCCCTTCATATAAACCCCAGTCAAACCAGCATTTCTTAATTTGAAGTATTCCCCTTTTAATTGGCGCCTCTGTGTGAGGTTGTGACTGACGGCGCACGTGCTGAATTAAGGCAGTGCAGAGATAATTATGATGTGTGACAGATGTAAAGCCCGACGCTCCCTGTTGTCTGGTTGATGGTTCATACTGATAAAGGGACATATTGAATAGTGTCTCCCCATTATCACAGGGTAGACCAGAAGATTTACTGAAATTCAGCAGAAAACGCGTCTGGAAATTTGGAAACGCTTACAGAAGCTCCTGTTTGAAAACACTCTTGGTTGGGCAGAAGATAAACAGTTATTTCCTTTGTACATGGAAGATAGAGGATGAATTATTGATCAGATTTGTGGCGTTAAAAGCCTTCTTTAATTAACCAGAATGCTATTAACACTGCATCATTTATCAGAAGAGATCTCATTGATCCTTCCAGCTGTTCAGATGTTCTGAGAGGTGTCAGGGGTTTGTGACTTTAGGCATAACTGTAGATGAAGTGTGGCTCTCTGAGGACTGGAGGGGGCTGATGGACCGTCAGACGGCAGTGATTAGAAACTGGCAAGGCTAATGTGGCTGGTATTTAGCCATTGGCCACCACACGTGGCAGAGGGTCTAGGCAGATGGTGGATCAGACCTCTGCAGAGGCTTTAAATGCCCCTCTCCCTCAGAGACGTCTCTCTCTCTCTTTCTCTCTCTTTTTCTCATCACAGTGACAGCACCTGTTCTGCTGCTTGCACCTCTTATATTACTCTAGAGCCTTTCTGCTCATTGTCTGACACATCCTTTTTACATCATCCATAATGATTTCTTATGATTTTTCTCTGTTTGATTGTTGGACACCAATTTTGCAAAGCTAAACCGTGTGTGCAATTCAAGCAACCACGAGATGTGAGCTTGCATATATCAGAAAACAACTGGAAGAATGTCTGCTGTAAAGGTTTACACACAAACCAAAAGATTACACACAATCTTCAAGAGATTATATTTTCATACCTCAGAATTAGACTCAATGCTTGGAATTCAAAATAAGGCTAATGATCAATAGAAGTGTGGCCAAACATTATGGCAAGTGTTTCCTGTTCAAGCCTCATGTTTCTGTTCTTTGTTTAAGAGCCCCATCTTTTATATAGCGGATTTAAACCAAATTCATTGGATAATATAATAATGATAATATTAGTTATACAGAAATATTTATTTTTTAATAATGTATTTATTCTTTATTCTCAGTTTTAATTAATAAATACACAAGTTCTTAATTTCATAATATCCAGTTGTATAATATTTGTTTAATCTAAATATCTTAATTTATTAATTACTAATAAATTATAAATGTATTTATTTGTAAAAAAAAAAAAAAAAAAGAGAGACATTTCTAGTTCTTTATTACATTACTGACTTTTGGTTCTCACTGCTGGGCAATACCAGTAGGAATGATCTATCTGTCTAAATCAGGGGTGCCCCAACTTTTTCGGACAAAGGGCCAAAAATCAAATATCGCTGAGAGCCATGGGCCAAAGGTAAATATATCAAACTATATTACATTAAAGATGTCATGCGTAATTTCCTAATTTATTTAATAATACTTTAAAATAAATAGAGAACATTATTTAAAATCACATTAACTAATGCAGTATAACTATTTAAATAGCTTATTGCAATAAAAACATAATCACGTTTATAACACAGCGGAGTTCAATGCTTAATACACTAGTCGAGCAGAATATGATTGACTTGATTTGCTTACCAAAGTCTGCATTGTCGAGTGACAGTATTGAATGGAGAATCTCGAAAGCTTCCCCATCGTTCTTACTTTTCTCAGATGGGATGGTGGGCCAACTATGGCCCGCAGGCCCTAGTTTAGGCATCTCTGATCTAAATGTTCTAAATGTGACTTCCAGAAAGCTCTAGTTTGTGCCAGGCACCCTGAAGTTAATTTTTCACAGTGTGGTGTTTGTGTAATTGTAATCTTGGTAAGCTCTCTTTGTCTGCCGGAGATTAACCCATGTGAAGGGATTTAGAGGGAATTTACATTTGCCTCTGGGGTGATAGGTGTATGCCTCTTTTTTTGCTTTAGGCTGTGTTCTGTATCTTGCTTTTATTTTGATGCAATGCAATGTGCTGTGTTGGGGTGTAATATATCTTCTGTCATTTTGTCACCAGAATGAAGAATTGGACAAGAAATATGCAGGTCTCTTGGAAAAGAAATGGACTTCAGTCATCAGATTACAGAAAAAGGTTTGTGCATTTCATATTTAATGCAAATCCTATTAAAACTCATGGAGGCAGCCTTGACTCATTGACTATTCATGCTCTGAAATGCCAAATCTTACAGTTCAGAAATGGTACGTTTCCACACTACCACAACTGCAATGCAAAAATCATTCATCCAGATGTGTGCAATGACTAGTTTTGCCAATTCTGACTTTTACTAGGTGATGGAGTTAGAATCAAAACTGAATGAAGCAAAAGAGGAGATTAATATAGGTGGGCCAATTGGACAGAAGCGAGACCCCAAAGAATGGATCCCCCGTCCTCCTGAGAAATACGCTCTGAGCGGCCATAGGAGTCCTGTCACCAGAGTCATTTTCCATCCTGTTTTCAGCGTCATAGTTTCTGCCTCAGAGGACGCAACAATAAAGGTGAGATCCTCTGTCTGTTTTGTGCCGCTATCAACTACTCTGCTTGCATGGTGTACATTATAAACCTCCCAAAACTGACCCTGTATTTCTGTCATGTTGTTGTGACCAACTGCCTTTCTGGCTGATATAATTATGCAGTCCTGCCTGGAATGAGCTGTAGATTTGACTCGAGGCAGCCAGTGTCCTCTCTTTTTGCTGTATTGGTCATACAGAGGCTCTTGAGACACACAAAATACACAAGTCTGCACAAGAAATGTGTCATTCCCATGGTACTAAACCATGTTTCTACCCGTCTGCTATTCATAACTGAGCACAATCTCAGTGATTTCTCCAAAAGGATAGGCACAAATTGACTTCAAGTCTATTTATAGCTACTCCTTAGGGGATTTTAGAATGTTTAAAAAGCCAAGAGGGAAGATTTTCACAATTTAAATTGGTAACATTCATGGATGTAATATGTGCAGGTGATCTATTAAATGTTTTTTTTTTTTTTTGTACTGCACTTGTTCTTTTGAGTGATTCATCTTCCGCCTCAATGCCGGCAGCTATGGCCACCAACCTGAGTTTGTGCCCCCTCCTCCTGTGCCCTAGTTTTTATACTGTTTTTTTTCTAGTCAACCCTTCCCTAAAAAAATCAACCCAGCCCTCCCTATTGTAACGTGGGCTTCTTCTGACTAGACAGCTAGTTCATATATATTCTGCCACATTCTCTGGATCCACACATTCGTTGCTAATTGTCAAGAAGGCTGAAGGTTTCCAGACAAATGCTTTAGTTTTTTCCCCTCACCTCTTTCTCAGTATAATGCAGATGTGGTGTAGTGATTGTGGCAGATCTCCCCGCCTTATGTTAATCAAGCAGTTTGACAGCTCTTCTTTTCCATTGACAGTTTTCCTTCTGCTTGACCTGGTTGCTATTGAGTCAGCCAAATGGTTTGCAGTTCAGTTTCATGCACAAGTGTGTTTTTCTCTTCTCCAGACTGTGATATTTTATACATGCGCATGAACATTCATTCAAACATGCAGTCAAAGCTTAGATCTTCACAATTTTTCTGAAACGTCAACACTTGAGTCTGAAATAAGCCCTCTCGGTTCATGCAGCACTGCATGGCTGATCTCAGCTTGTTTTTTCACCTTGCTTTTATAGTCGGGCCATACATTTTTTGCTTCAGTTTTGTTTTTCACTTAACATTGAACATTTTTTTTAATGAATGCTGAATATATTCGTACCATATCTATAATTATATAATAGTTATTTATGCATATATTTTAGTATTTATCCAATTTGTATTTAATTTTAAATAAATTATTCCCCCACAGTTCAAAGACATGCATTATAGGTGGATTGAATCAGTTAAATTGGCTGTAGTTTATGTGTGGGTATGAAAGCAGGAGTGTATGGATGTTTCCCAGTGCTGGGTTGTGGTTAGAAGAGCATCCGCTGCTTAAAACATATGCGGGAAAAGTTGGCGGTTCATTCCGCTGTGGGGACCCCTGATTAACAAAGCAACTAAGCCGAAAAGAAAATGATTGAATGATTGTCATTTATTTGTTGCACTGTAGTATTGTTTCCTTCCATTTTAATTTGCGTTTTAAGTATTTCCTTTGCTGGATCATTAATAATCAGACCAAACATTCATAAATGTTAGCACATACTGACATATACAAATAAGGGCAGAAAAAAACAACTAAACAAACAATCTAATAAACACTAACGTCATATGCACGTCAAATGGCATTGCAGTCTCAGCTTTTCGTGTGCATGTTTTCTATCAGAACATGACTAGTTGTGTTGAGTTTCCCCGTCTGGAAGCAGGAGACTGATAAGCAGGTGGAGGGGCTTCTGTCATCTGCCCCCTGAGCAGCAGACAGAGCTTATCCCTGTGTGTCTGCTGCAGGAAAACTGCTGAAACCTGATCTTCACATTAAGCCCTGAGGCTGTTTATCATACTGCTGCATCCAGGCGAACAAGCTGATAACATTCGCCTCACTTCACAAAAAATGCTTTAATGATAAAGAAAATGATGAAAACTGAATTTTAGTGAAAACATGATGTCAAAATATTCTGCCCCAATTACTCTTGGACTGCGATAAATGCTGTGAGGTAAATATAGGGTGAAAATGTGACTTTTTTTTTTTTTCTTGAGGCGGATGGAGATAATCGTTCCAACTGTAGATTATATCCAGAGGGAATGTTTGATGGCGTTTAAAAACTGGCAGCTTGACAGATGTTGCGCTGAATATGCAATAGCAGCTACAAGCCCAAACCTGCTGTTTATGTCATACCTTATTACAAACTGTCAAACAAGATAATGCATTGTATTATAGAAAGAAAATCATCCTGGGCTAATGTTTTTTTTCTTTTCTTTCTTATCTAGGTATGGGATCATGAAACTGGAGATTTTGAAAGGACCCTCAAAGGCCACACAGACTCCGTGCAAGACATTTCCTTTGACCACACTGGAAAGCTGCTAGCCTCGTGTTCAGCGGATATGACCATCAAGCTCTGGGACTTCCAGGGCTTTGAGTGTATCAGGACCATGCACGGTGAGCATGGTGTCATATGTTGTCAGTGGTGCTGGGAACTGTTAGGAGCAAAGAGGCATCTCAGGGGGGAATAGAGTGTCGGGAGGCAGGTGTTGAGCTGAAGCTCACTAATAAGCCAGCTCGCCAACTAATCTATAAGAAATGTTCTTTCAGTATTAGAAGACATATTAATTTACTTATTTATTTTTATATTATATTTATATTCAAATTCAATTAATTTATTTACATTTTTTAATTTAATTAATTAATTTTTTTATAATTAAATGTAATTTTTTCAAATATTTATTTTTTTTATTTTTTTAATCAAATATCGATGTGCTTTTTAAGAGTTTAATATATAAAATAAGGATTTTGTTTTTTAATTGTTTAATGAATGGCAATATTTTTTTTTATATATCTGTATATACAATAAAAAGCATAAAATGTTTTCAACACAAGTGAGAGATCATGTCCTTGCTTTCAGAAAGCCTTTTTAAAGATCCAATTGCCTGGTAAATTTTAATTGCATCTTTGGAAATGTGTGCCTTTTGGCTATTCTTTAGGGAGATCACACCACAAGTCAATTAGCATTTTGTCTTATGGATTCTGTATTAGTTGAACACGTCTTCACTTCTACTAGATGATTAGTTCCCATGTAAAGAGGCAGAGATAAGATCTCACCTTAGGTTTGGAAAAGCACGAAAACTGTCAGTGTGAAAACTGCCAAGAAATTGGGGGGTGGGGCACTGCTATCCAGCTTATTTTCCTTTATTTATGAGGATCAAATCATATCAAACCTCACTAATGGAAATACATAAATATGTGTGCTGTTTTTGTAAGCTCACATTATTTTCAATACAAATGATAAGTTTTCTGCGTTTGTCCTGTGCACCAAAATACACGAATGCACTTTTGTAGTTTTCATTCAACAGTAGTGATGCATACTGTATGCTTATGGTTTATTTTAAGTGTTAAAATAATAAGCAAATATGTGAAACAAAAATGTTAAATCTGTCCAAAAAAAACTTATTTTAATGTTTTATGCTAAAATAACTAATCAAGTGTTCAAGTTTTCCTCAAGTCATTTGTAATCCATATCAGAAATGTGTAAATCCTGAGTGGTGATAATCCAAATAATGTGTGTGCGCAACTCGTAATATGCCCAAATCCAAAGGCTTGCAATTTACACCCACCACTAAAGCTGGCATGTTGCCCTGAGACTAGGGTAAACTGTTCTAGCACAGAATTGAAGAAGAGGTGATGAACAGCCCCCACGCTCCCCCTTCGTTTTGCAAGTCCCCCTTCTACTCTCGCTCGTTCTCTCTCTCTTTCTGCCGTCTCGCTTCGTGGGTCGGCTGCTTTAGTGGAAGATTAGGAGATTTGGACAGCAGTTTAATTATCCTCTTCAAGACGAGATAACGTTTTGTCGTCCCCCCCATATTTAAGACTGCTTTTTCTAGACTACTTGGTTTCATCCATTCAGCAGCTTAAAAATGGCGTCCTGTGTAATTAGCTCATCTCTTTCGTCGCACATTGAGAACAAAGCAGCCCAAGGCAATTTAGCAGCTTCTTATTCTCCATTAAAGTGTACGATATGTTTTAAAGCTTAACCACTCATTGTCAGATGCTAATGTGCATGACCGTCTGATTTGTACAGTGGAATTGTGTGTATTATGCTGATTTGAGAAATGGATTTAGTTTATCACAGGCACTGTTGGTGTTTTTTGTGACTGTCAATCTGAAAAAAAGTGTACATTTTTGCTTCTTTCTTTTTTCAGGACACGACCATAATGTTTCATCTGTAGCTATTATGCCCAATGGAGATCACATAGTTTCTGCCTCAAGGGATAAAACCATTAAAATGTGGGAGGTTGCCACTGGGTAAGCCTTTTAGCTACTTATAAATGCTTTTAATTTGATTTTCTTATTAGCTAAACATTCTGGACTACTACACCATAGGTTGTCAAACTATAGCTTGCTCAAACGAAACTGTCTTTTCAGTTGCTGTATTGTATCTTCAGCTGAAAGCACCTGTGTAAATGTAGACTTAACAAAGGGTTTTATATTGTAATGGCAAAAAGGACAAACCTCTGACGTGACTGCGAAGCACAGTTGCACATTGATACTAACTTTCAGATGCTATTTCACACCTGAAATGTTGATGACAATTTTTTGACATTTTGCCTGTTTGCTCCCCTAAACAGATACTGTGTTAAGACATTCACCGGACACAGAGAGTGGGTCCGCATGGTGCGGCCCAACCAGGACGGGACCCTGATTGCCAGTAGTTCTAATGACCAGACGGTGCGTGTTTGGGTGGTGGCCACAAAAGAATGTAAAGCAGAGCTGCGCGAGCATGAGCATGTGGTGGAGTGCATTTCTTGGGCCCCTGAAAGTGCCCATCCCACCATCCTGGAGGCCACCGGCTCAGAGGTGAGTGGCACATTTGTGATGGCAAATGCTTATGACATTCAGTATGTTTAATAATTGTTGATGCATTGTTGAATGTTTGGTGAATGTAGAGCATGAATTGAAGCAGGTTAGGGTTGTTATGGAGTTTGTTACCAATTGTTACTAAAGTTTAAAAAAACGTCCTTTCCAGCTGACTTTAGAGCACGTTTTAAACGGCACTGCTGATGAATCGTGGCTTTAAAACGCTCCAGTGTCCCTGTATCTGTGGTTATAGAATTTGAAAGTGTAGAAAAAAGAATACAGGCCCAACTCTCAGATATTATTGCTGCTCAACAGGCCATGCGATTCTTTATTTTTCCCCTGTTTTAGATCAGTGGCTCTTTGTTTTCACAAATATTTTCTGATCGTTAGAGATGTTCATGTTGATCTATTCTTTGCTGTGCCCCGTAAACACGATTTGATGGGCCTTTTGGATCTAAATTCGTCATGTACAATGGTTTTAAACAGACTCTGAAACGACATAGGTGGAATTTGCAGTTGATGGCCTAAGGTGAAGAACGTACCAGTTGGATTTTTTTTTTGTGGCAGTCTTATGATCAACCATGTCCAATTTCATCATGATCTGATAAAGCATTAGCCCTAACAGCATGAGGAATACAGCTCTTAACCCTTTTAAACACTGTTTTATTAAGAGAACTTTCTCCTCTGTGTTTAAATGTAACATTTATTTGGTCAGTCGTCTCTGATCTTGTCAAACCTGTTCAGTTGAAAGTGAACCATTCTTGACATCCTGAACATCGTCACGAATGATAATTACAAAGCCCTGTATGTCATTACAGCGGCTCTATGTAAAGGTATAAATGTGCCTGAACACACTTGTCTGAACACGCCAGCCTCTCAGCAAGAGCAATTTTGTTTTTAATGTGCCTGTTCACACTCCCCCTTGAGCAGACTTTCCCTTTTACAGAGGGGAAATAATAGATAAGGCCTTGAACATAATGACCATCCATTTTGGCAGGGTTATTTAAGTGCATTATCACCTGTTATATTCGTCTCTTCATTGACTGCATGGGAGATGTGGTGTGGTATTTAAAGGACAGTAATTTATCAGAGGGCTGTTATGATTGGATGTCTGTGATCTATGCACCGCTGCCAGTGTCTCATCCTCTTCTAATGATGCTGTGGTTGTGCATCAGTCTTAATAAAGCTGCTTCCGTAACCTTGTTGTGGGTTAAAGACTTGCCCATACGCTATTGCATTTTCTTGCTAGTAAGGATTATAAATATTAATCTATGCGCACACACACACACTGAGTTGCAAGGGAAGTTGATTTTGTTTGTATACATGAACATGGAATTTTAAGACATTTATATACATTATGAACATTTTAATGAATTTGCGTTCACACCAGACGCGGTACGCGCAGATAAATCGCGATATTTGTGTGCAAGTTGATGCGTGAACATTTTGAGTGTACTCTTTTCATTCACATGCCAAATCAGCTTCATTCATGTGTCAAATCCGCTTTATTCATGCGTCAAATTTTTTTCAGAACAGATGTGGATTCGCGTCATGGGCAGGGCTTTTGTCTGCCCGGTGACTCTAGCTTCATTACTAAATGGCTAACATAGATTTTATTGAGAGAATAGCTGTGTGTGTGCTTTAGGATGACTGAAAAACAGCGTCGATTCATTTGGCGGCGTGTCTGAATCCACTTAATACATTTAGAGGTGCACTCAGCTCTGTGTGCTCATAAACTCCTCCAGAAACTATACCTGGATGATGGAAGCTTTCAGCGGTGCTTCTGACTGAGCTGAGCCCAGTTTGATCAACTGTTGTCAACAAAAACAGGCGCTACGTCATAATCACACCCCTACAAGAGAAAGCTCCTGATTGGTTAATGTGCTGCTGGATGTCTGTTCACGTCTGTGCATTAAAGTATCATGTAAATCACTCTCGTTTGACGCTTCTTTCGCGTCTGGGGTGAATGCATTAGAGCTTTTCCAGGTCTGAAAAAGGGTTGAAAATATAAACTCCACAAAGCTTTAAAAAATCTTTTACAAATCTCTGTATCATAAAACACTTAAACAATAATATTCATTGTTCAATTGTTTTTTTTTATTGTTTTTTTTTGGTTGCGGTTTATTTGAATTTGTATTATTTTGTTTAAAAAATAAAATAAATGTATAATTTCCATAAACCTTTATCATTTAGAAAATTGAGAAGATCAGATTTTAGTGCAAAAAAAGCTTTATTTTTTTTATTTTTCTTATTTTAAATGTATGTATGACCTGGGGTCGTTTAACATTTACCTGAAAACAACAATGACACTTAATGTAAAATAAAAAAACAAAACCGTTATTAAAATGAATGAACTGGTTTAATATAAATGTATATATTAAAGGGCACCTATGTTGAAAATCATCCTTTGTAAGCTGTTTGGACAGAACTGTGTGTAGGTTTAGTATGTCCACAGTCAAATTGGGCTGATTTAAAAACAATAAATCTTTTTTTATTTCCAGATGTTAAAATAAGATTCAAATCCCTCCCACTTTGAGGCCGACCGTAACATGTTTGCAATAAAGACAGAAAAATCGCTGTAATTCATCACCACAGCCGAATGTCAGTACAGTTATAAGAGAAGACTCATCAATTGCGCTTTGTGGACGTTAAATCAGGTTTATTTTGTACATTAACATAATATATCCATACAGCAAGGGATATTGACGTGTATCATGTCACATTTGCGTGCAAAAACAATGCAAAGTTAAACACCCTGTGTGTGCGCGTGAACTTTTGAACGACATTGTGTGTGAATTATCTAAAGGCTTAAATTAACTCCACAACAAATGCATTAAATAATACTAAAGTTCTTACTGTAGTATTTCTCACAAATGTTATGTGAGATCTGCTTTCTTCATGTCTGTCACTGTGCTGTTTATCTGACGCAGCCGAGGCGGAGCATGAGACACTCTGACAGGCACGTAAGAACGGTGGGTGGGGAAAACTAGCACTAAAGGCACAGGCAACAAAAACAGCTGCATTTTGTTCAGAGCAGACAATTCCAGAAAGCTAAAATAAATAATCTGATGAGTGTTAAATCTTGAAAAAGGGTCAAATTGGTGCCCTTTAAGTGAATGTTTTATAGGGACAAGTGTACTCTTTCTTTTTACATTTTTATTTAGTATTCAGCTGTAACATTAATATGAAATGTTTTAATTCAAACCTTGTCTACTTTTAGTAGGTTTCTATCCAGGACTAATTCGAATGCTGTGCATTTTTATTTTATTTTGTTCTGCCAGACCAAGAAGAGTGGGAAACCTGGTCCTTTCCTTTTGTCTGGTTCCAGAGATAAGACTATCAAGATGTGGGATGTGAGCATTGGCATGTGCCTTATGACACTGGTGAGTCCTACTAAACATTGTTTTGATCCACTCCAGTGCTAAATGGGAATCTCTTCCTGCTTTTATCAATGATGTTTACATGACAACAGTGTACTGAAACCGAAAAAAGCTTTTTCCTTGTGTTTTTGGAGAAACATTGGCAAAAGAATCTTGTTTCCCATATATCTGATGTATCATGTATGCCAGAGCAGTAGTCCAGAATTTCAATTTGTAAAGAAAAACTACACATTTGCAAACATACAATCCTGTAGTCCAAATTTTGTTGTAGTAGTGCATGCCTAAACTCTAAACGCACTAGACTAAATGCACATCTAATACATATTTTTGATGTGGCACCAAAATCACACTTTGTAGTTTATGCATAGATAAATATCATTTTCAAAAACATACACTTTTTCAGGCTGCTGCTGTTGTGTGAATGAATGCACAAAACATTTAGTTTGCTTATTTCAAACTGATGTAAAATTACCCTGATTCTGAATCCTGAATTGTTCAGGTTGGCCATGATAACTGGGTGCGTGGGGTTCTTGTGCACCCTGGAGGAAAGTACATTGTGAGCTGTGCTGATGACAAGACTTTGAGGATCTGGGACTACAAAAACAAGCGCTGCACGAAGACCTTGAGTGCCCACGAACATTTTGTTACCTCTCTGGGTACGTGGCTGTATTTAGACTCATCTTCTCTCACAGGATTGTTGATTTTGAAGTGCAAATCAGTTGCTTTGATGACCAAGGAAAGGTGAAGATGTCTTTTAGAAGTGTACAGCGCAATCACACTTCCCCAAAGAGTGATTTCTCAGGTTAAGATGGAGTTTTCTACAAAAGTTAGTCCTGTCAACCATTGGTAGCCTACTGTGAGAGGATGCTGAATCCTCCAGTCTTTTAACTGCCCGAGTCCAGATCTTTTCACAGGATCAAGGCACTGACGCTCTCTAGAGATACTTGATGTTATTCAGTCAGCTCCCCTGTAGGCTTGTGTGAAGCTTTAGACTTGCTTTCAAAATCGCTTCTGTACACAACTCTCGTCGTCCATAATATTGATTTGAAACCATTGTGTTGGCATGAATAGAAAATGTTTGAGGTTTCAGGTCTCATGACACAGTTTAAGCATGTAAAGAGGTTTATATATGTTTTAAAGCTGAAGTGTTATTTATTAATGTTCAATGAGCATTGTTAAATATGATTAGCATAATGTTTATTTTTAAACATTATTCTCTCCTTTTCTATTGGTCAGATTAGCCCAACCTGAGACTCATTTCATTGGCTGGACGAATGCTGATGTGTAACTGATGCCAGTTTAAAAATAAATATGCAAAACAATGCTTTAATTATATGAATAGAGACTAGAGACTTTTTTTTGTTGAGAATACCAGTGTTAATTATATAGCAAGATATTAATTTATGTGAAAACAGTTTTAAACTGTTGTAGAGTTGTAGATCTCTGGTGAATAAAGGGACTAAGCTGAAGGTAAATTAATGAATGAATGTCTCTAATTGACCCTGTAATCTTCATGGATTTTTTTGTGTTTCAGGTTTTATGTCATTAAAGTACAGTATCTTTCTTCTCCCTACAGATTTCCACAAGACTGCTCCGTACGTCGTCACCGGGAGCGTAGATCAAACAGTAAAAGTGTGGGAATGTCGCTGATCATACCCGCCAGGACCCTTCACAACACCTCCATGCTCCCCTCCACCCCCACGGACCCATTCCACTTTCCCCTCAGCTTCCTCCTGCTCTTCTGGATGCACTCGAACACCACAGTCATCACCCACGAGCTCCGGTTTAATAACGTGTCCTTTTATGTAAATTATTCTGGATGTAGATCGAGCTATTAAATGAAAAAAAAAAAGTATTCTTGCATGGTGAATCCAAAACTGTATACTGTAAATTTACATAATGTTGTCTAGAAGTACCATAGGTTTAACACAGGCTGATCTTTCACTCAGCCTGACCTACCGAAGGCAGAAGCTGACTGGGTTAAATGTAGGGCACTAAACTGATAATTTAATGACAGTGTCTGATTTATATTTGTCTATTTTTATTTTATTTAGTTTATTTTGTTTTGTTTTCCACTGTCTTAGTCTGTTTGTGCCTAGCTTGGAGACCTTTCAAAGGGGCAAAGGCTACAGAAGGAATCTATAAATGCTGAGGTGGAGAGTTGATCTGGAGCTTGTTATCGGAGTTATTCTGTAGCTTTGTTACATCACTTCTGGAGTGTACTTATACCATTCTCTTCTCTTGTGGATTTAGATAACATTTAATGGTTGCATCTAAGAACGTTTTCATGTGTTTTGTCTGGAGACCTTTGGGAATAAATCTTTGTACGCTTGTCATGACACGTCCTACTGAGAAGTACAATCCCAGAGACATGACTTTACACTGTAAGAGAGAATCCTGCTTAATTCTAGGAGTGAATTTGTACAAAAAAGCCATGCTGCATATAGGGCGGCAAGAGTTTTATGTTTTGTTTTTTCTTTTTGCCCCAAATCGACGATAGCTTTAGTAAAGATTTTGGTCACTCAGGAGCACTTCAAACTTAAACATTGCCTCTACAAAGCACTTGATTTGGCCATCAGTGTTTGCATTCAGATGAAGACGTCCTGATTCTTCCTTTCGTTGCTTAATCTCGTTGCCCTTATGGCAGTTGTGCTGAGACTAAGAAATCGCAAGCCTCAGTTTGGACCCAAGGTGCAAAGCATGACAAGGGCTCAAAGTTTCCTCTCATTAAGGGGATGTGCAAAAATCCTAAAAGAATGGATGCAAAGATTTCTATGATGACAAAAAAAATGATCGGGGTTACTGTGGGAAGCTCAATCTACAAGTCGCGGAGCTACAAACCTAACCATCTGCCTGTTCTCTCTCTGTGGAGTGTGAATCTTGTTGTAAAGGGATCTTCATACTGTGGCCGAATATCCCTAATATAACCACAGGTGCTCAAGCCATTACTTAAGTGTGACGAGTGGTACACACTCTGCTATATCTGTTAATAAATGTACAAATGATTACACAATGGGAAATGATTTGATAAAGTCCCAAACATGGAGATAAACCATTCCATATCTTTTAAGGAAGAAAAAAAATGCCTTTTGACTTTGTGCGAAGACAAAAGAAATTCAATTAACTTGCACATCCCTGCTATTGTTGGATCTTCGGTCCGGTCGGGCTGAAGGTTTACCCAATTTAAGGCTTTGAACAGATATCATTTTAATTAGCCTTTTCATTCCAATGCAATTATATAATAAAGAATTCACTGCTTAACCATGCTATTATCAAGCGATTTCCTGTTGTGTGCGTACTGGATGTACCTACTGCTGCTGAAAATTCGATAGTGACTAGTCTGAGATCTGTACCTGTCCACATAGCACTGCTGCATGTAAGTGTACGGGTGGGCAACCGTCAAACATATTTGATGTCCAACCGTCCAGAAAAGATCTAAGTGACATCTTGTTCGGAGCGTATGTGTTGCGGCATGATTGGTTGATGGGGATAGACGTCCTATCAGATATGTACGATGAAGGCAGGCCGCTCTGTTTGTGGTTGTAGAGGCCGATCTGTGTGTGTGTATGCTTGTATGAAGGAAGATGACCACTTCATTTGGCTATGGGATTGTGGCAGACTGAGCAACCCAAGGGAGAAGTGCCCATCACAAGCAAACACCGTTGATGCCTCGTCTTTTTTTTTTTTGATTGAGACCTTTTACATTGGTTCTTTAGTCACTTCACTGTGTAGTGCAGCTGGCAACCTAAACCAAAAATGGACAAACATATTGCTGAATCGAATCATTTGTAATATAATAACATTGTCCAGAGCTTATCTTTTCCTGTAAGCAGCACTGCTCCCTTATAATTGGCTTTAATCAAGACATTGACTACTAACCATTTTTTTTCACCTTCAGTTGTTTACAAACCTTTTTAACCCAGCAAGCATTTTTTGCTTTTAAAAGATGTCTAATAGACGTCTAAACATAGTGTTCCTGGCTAAAACAAGGTTAAATTTGGGCTGTCAGTGAAAATCTAACAGATGTCTAAGAATAGGCCAAAACTGGACTAGTCATCAAATAAGCAGAAATGAGTGACTACACACAAAGTCTGTCTAATCTGTCTATTTGGGCTATTCTTAGATGTCTACTAGATTTTCACTGACAGCCCAAGTTTAACCTTGCTTTAGCTTTAGATGTTTAGATGTCTGTTAAACACAAAATTGTTTGCTGGGAAGTTTCAGTGTCCTGTTGAACACAAAAGAAGAGGTTGTTTTACAGAATGATTGAAGATTGGTAGCTGTTGGCTTCCATAGTAGGAGAAAATATATGTATATAACAGAGAATAGTTGCTTTTAACATTCTTCAAAATGTCTCTTTTGTGATCTGCTTGAGATAGAAACTATTTGGAATAAGTGGAGGTAAAAAAATGATAACAGAACTTTTCAGAAGACGGAAGATGACAAGATTTTTGAGAGAACTTTCTTTTTCAATGGTTAGTTTGCCTTAAAATGAATCCTTTTTACAAATAGTTTATTTTTTATCCTCATGTCCTTTCCCTAAAACAAGTTTTGTTTGCATTTAAAGCACAAATTAGGGCATTATTACAGAAACCTTCGAGATCTGGCTCTGCTTTCAAAATCAGAGCACCCAAAACTCTTAATGCTTTACAACATTTGTGAAAAAAGCCTTGTGAATCAAGTGGTTTAATCCAAATGTGGAGATATGATTGCTTGGTTTTTTCAACTTTATTCTGATACAAAAAAACAAGCTCAGCTGTACTTCCTTGTCACGTTAAGAAAGTCCTCATTGGTTGTACACGCTATAATATGCTATGTGACAGAGAAGAATATAACTGATTGGTTTTCACACACCAAGAAAGCATCCATAAGCTTTAGTGAGCAAATTTGAAGGTTGTTAACATTTGTTGAATCAATTTATATTACCTCAAGCCCAAAATTAAATAGAAAAATTAAGTGATCTTGACCATTCAGAAGACATTGATTAAACCGCTTGAGGCTTACAGATTAGGTTTTAAATCTTTTAAAGCATTTTTGGGAGAATGTACTATTAGTGGAGGGATGGAAGTCTTTGTTTTGATGCAATATCTTCATTTGTGTTTTGAAGATGAGCAAAAGGATTATTTGTTTAGAATAACATAAAGGTAAATGATAATGAATTTACATGTTTAGGTAATCGAAAATGTTTAAATTGAACCCGCCCCTTTATAACACCTTTAGTGGTTTGACAACAATGATGTCCTGTTTATTTTTGTTTGCCGGAGAGAAGGTTTGCTATTCGCAGTTCCCAAGCAATCCTACTGCAGCACACGCTGGATGAGTTCATGTACAGACAGACAGACTGGTGAAGGTGGTGTCTGCAGGTTCGCCCTCCCGCCACAGGTTTATCATCAGTTATTACTTTTGTGAATAGATTGGAGGCTTCAGACTTCACAGCTTGAATGGGACTCTTTGCTTTTTATGGTATCACTGTTCACACAGCCAATTGTTAACAATATATCTGGATGTTATTGTTTGCAACATAATTAAAGAGAAAAAAATACGAATGTTGTGTCTGATGCTGTGTGCGGAGTCAAACAGGGATCATGCGACTCTTCAAACCAGATAGCCAAATGCACATCATTTGTTTTATGGTTTTAAGGGATTTGAACAACCAAACAGGTCAGAAAAAAAGTGTGCCAGCCTCTTCTGTTTTTGGAAGTTTAGCAGAGTCAGCAATCTTTAGTGTTTGGATGGGAGTGGAAAAATAATGCATGCTTTTTATACAGAGTAGAAGGATTTTGTATCATTGAACGCAAGATACAACGAAGGAGCTTGATGCTTATAAAATTAGGAGACTAAAAAGAAATGTACATAATATATAGGGATGTGCAATTAAAAGATTTAATTAAAATTCTTAATTCTTCTGTTTTTTAGTTCTTAAAAGACAGACATCCACATGAGTAAATAATATATATTCAAAGGTATAGGTGTGAGTTTGTGTGGTTTAAGAGTCTTTGTAAAGATGCATAGGAAAGGCTTAATCTAATTTTTTTTTTATTACAGTTGGAAATACAATTAACAGATTATGATAAATGTGGTAATTTCTGATTGTGGGTTTCAAATTTGCATGCGCAATCTAAAGGTAGAAAACAATGAAGTGTTATGGACTTTAAATATGCAAGTTAAAATACTATGTAATGTAGATGATTTGAAATACATTTGAGTAGAATGAGCAGCTGAAAAAAAGAAAATTGCTGCCAGGTTCAATAATATGTTCTTCATGTAAAAAAATTACATTAGAAAATTACATTACACATACACGCTCATACTACGCTGCACAGGTGTCACAGTTTAGTTCCAACCTGAACTAAACGCACCTGATCAAACCAATTAGGTCCTACAATTCTGTTTGAAACACAGGGTTGGTGTATTGAAGCAGGGTTGTAAATAAACTGTTGAGCTGCGGCCCTCCAGGAACTGGATTTAGCATCTATAATCAAGACAGCTGATGTTTTTATGTTTGAAAGTCCAAATGGTTTCAATTATTATTATTTTTTAAAGTTGTACAGAGTATAACTTAATATTTTAGTCGGTTTGTTTGATGTAAGTTTAGATGACTTGAAAATGAAGGCATTTTTACAGTGTACCTGAGGTGATGGTGAAATTACCAGTTATCCTGCACTGCTGCAACTCTCTTCACAGACACTGAAGAAATTGCATGTAAAGAATATATTTTAAATATCTTAAGCATCTCAATTACACGCAGGTGTCAAAAACGATATGTCACTATTTTTAAATAACTTTATGACACCATAAGCGTTCGCCGACGCTGAATTATGACGACAGCGGAACCCGGGAACAACAACGTTGAGGCAACGTGATTCGCCAATGACAGCTGAATGTGCTGAACACTGAGAAACTACTGAAGTTTTCATCTATCGGTATTCATCTATTCTTATGATTTATCGATGCGTTACACTATCGCATGCGCAGTTTATTACATATGCATGTTTTGTGGTAAAACTGTTAGCTATTTGGTTAGTTTTAGCATCATTTCTCTAGAGATTGTCTACAAACACTTGTGATTTAGGTTCGTATAGTACATTACACCCAAACAAGCGCAGTGACAACGTGATATTTAACATATCTAACGTTACATATCTTTTATGAACATATCTATTTCGATCTTTTTATAAATATATGTGTTTTGAAAAACAGTATATAAATGTCGCACTTTAATTTTTGGCTTTGCAAAACAAGATTCAAAGGAGCAGTTCACCACAAAATCAGATGTCATTAATTACCCTTGCTCTTGTTTTTTTTATTTCTCCCAATCATATGACTGTCTTAGTCCATGTAATATTATACCATGTTAATATGGTAAATATACAATATTTTGTCGTGTATAACTAAAAGAAGGTAGGCACAATGTTAGAAACTGACAGTCTCAGTCACTATTTTGCATATAGTGTAAAGTTAGGTGAATGGTGACTGAATATCTCTATTTGAATCTGTTTACAATGTTCATACAGATACAAAACAGCATGAGAATTATTTTAATTTAGAGGACAAATATCCTTAAGATCTTTTTGGAAATCTGTTTGTGGTTGTTGGTTTTCTGAAGGTGTCATGTTCATTCTGTGTTTGCAGTTTCATGAAGAATGGCGCTGAATAAATCCATGCATCCCCGAAACCGTTACAAGGACAAACCACCAGACTTTGTTTACCTGGCCTCCAAATATCCTGAATTCCAGAAGCACGTGCAGACCACACTGACCGGCAGAGTTACGTAAGTAATGTTGTGCTTTTGTTTTAGGAAAGGTGTCATATGACTTGCTGGAGGCATTATTATGTGAGGTATTAAAAGTGTTGTTCTGTTCTGGCATTGCGAGAGAAAGAGAGACTGATCTGTGAGTCCTCAAAGGATTGTGAACTCTTGTAGAAGACTTTTTTTCTGTTAGGGTTTGACTAGAAGTTACATGTGATTTTAAACGATTATATTTCTGGTAATCACTCTTAAATGTATTAGGTAGTTTCTCATTTCATTATCATATTGATATACATGTATGTAGACTACAGGTAAAAAAAATTGGTGTGTTTGAGAAAAAAAAAGTAAAAAATGTAATCTAATTTTAAAATGAAGTTTCATTTTAATTTCTTAAAAATGTTAATTCTAAAAGTGGTGTTCAAAAATGGCGAGTTATTGTCATTGTTTCTTTTTTTTTTTTTTGGTGTAAGCTGAGATATCCAAGGAGAATAATAGTTTCACAATTAATCATTTAAAAAGTAGAAAAAAGACTATATAAATATATGAGCAATATCATGCTCGGAGCAGTGCTATGTGGCTGTATGTTGGCACTGGTGGGAGGTGTACATAGAGTGCCACCAGTGATAGTATACAGCTACATCGCACTGCTACTAATGTGATATTGCATTTATACAACCGTTCGATGGCATAATTGTATGTATAAAAAAGAAAATCAAAGACAGAGAGTCTAAAAACCCTTTTGTTCACATTTGCAGCTGACGTCAGAACAGCAAAAACCATTGCTCATTCACCAACATCACTTTTGAGCTAGAATTTTAATAATTATCTAGTGTATTGTCTAAAGTGATGACAAAACAGGTGATTTTGCTTATATTTTAAGATTATAAGGCTGAACAGCATGAAATGTCATCAGTCTAGAGACATTTCCCAGTATTTCTCTGTTGCTATCGGTAGATCACAATAATTCACCCAGAAAAAGCCAAAGCAGCGCAAACACTACCAGACTCCTGTTGTGTTTTCAATTAGAACAGATGCTAAGCACATTTCTTTCTTTCTTTCTTTCTTTCTTTCTTTCTTTCTTTCTTTCTTTCTTTCTTTCTTTCTTTCTTTCTTTCTTTCTAGAACTAGTCTGCAGTAATGGAAAAAAGGAGACTCATTAGAAACAAACAGATGGCCAACCAAAAAGTAACTCGGGGTTATACACAGAGTGGCCAACACAAAATACATATATTCCTAATATGCGAGTCCCATCTGACACTCGATACACTACAATTAAATGGTATAAGTACAGAACTACACGTACAAAAGAGAGAGAACGACTAAGAAGTCACTTACCTGTTTCATAATGATTTGATCAGCTGTAGTTAGAAATTACGCTTGGTTTGTCTTCTCTAAGGGCTTATGCGGTCTCTGTCGCCATCTTGTAGATAGCGCTGTACCTCCAAAATTATAAATATTTAAAATCGGCACTGTCCTTATAAATAAAATCTAAACATTGTCGCCTAAAAAAAGCCTAAAATTACATTATGTTGTCCAACAGCTGCAATATTTACCAAACTGTAGTGAGTTTATTGATCTGCTGTCACTCTTTGTGGGTGGAGTAATAAAGAAGGGTTAGGAGGCTGAATGATAGGGATGTCCAAACTCTGTCCTGGAGGGCCAGAGTCCTGCAGATTTTAGCTCCAACTTGCCTCAACACACCTGCAAAGATGTTTCTAGAAAGCCTGGTAAGAGCTTGATTAGCTAGCACAGTGTCTGATTGGGCTTGAAACTAAACATTGCTAGACACCGGCTCTCCAGGACCGAGTTTGGACATGCCTGCTTTAGGAGTTCTGATATTGCAGAATATCGCACTGCCGTAAGCCAATCAGATTCAAAACAACAAAACTTGTGTATATGTGTGTATATGTATGTGTATATATATATATATATATATATATATATATATATATATATATATATATATATATATATATATATATATATATATATATATATATATATATATATATATATACAGTATACAGTATATATATATATATGTATGTATATGTATATGTGTGTAAACTGAAATCATAAAACAAAGTTTTATAAACTGTTTTGTTGGTCAACTGTTTTGTTTGACATTTTATTTCAGCTTGTTAAAAAGAAAAGTTTTTTTTATTCTATTTAGTCTGACTTGAAAACTATGAAATATAAATTAATAAAAAATATATTGAGAGAAATAATAGAAACCACAGAACAAAATTACTAAAACTATAACTAAAATGAAATTATTAAATGTAATACAAATTAATTTAACTGTTAATATGAACAACAATAATGCATCAATAAAACTCAATCTTTGTGCATGCGCACATACACATTTCTACTTGTGCCATTTATTGTGTACATTTTTTTGTTCTTTTCCAGTAATTGATTATCAAATAATTTCTACAACATTTAGATGAATTTAAACTGGCATCTTGGTACCAAACCTTTCTGATGTTTTTATTTCATTTGAACACAAAAGAAGGTATTTTGAAGAATGTTGGAATTCAGTAGCCACTGACATCCTTATTAGGAAAAAAAATCAGTTGTTGTCAACTATCAATTTTCAACATTCTTCAAAAAGATCTTCTTTTATCATCATTACAAGTAATTTGCTTACATTTCAAGGTTTGAAACCACTCTATATTTTTTATTTGATGTTTGGCGTAATTGCAGCTACTCCCCTTAAAAAACAGCCAATAGCATTTTGTTTTTATCACTGCTCTGCCAGTCAGAGTGGTTGAGCTCAAGCACATCAAATAAAAAGCGAATGAGAAGCGTCTTGAAGGAGGTTTAAGCCAGCCTTAAAACCATGATAGAAAACCTCTAATTACTGATTGATTTTGATATTTTAGAAAGTAAAAACACCAAAAAGACAGAGTAAAATATGTTATGTCAGCTAGGATGTGTGCAGTCTCATAGGATCTGCTTTGCCTGTGTGAAGGGAGATCAGTTATTTGCGGATCAATAATCACATTGGCACAGTATTTTAGGCCTGTCCCATTGAAGCAGTCGCTATGATTGGATGAGTTTCCTGCTGCGACTGTCAATACGCAGAAGCTCATCCAGGACTCCAGGGGAGCGGCGGAGCTCAGGCTGTTGTCAGAAAATGAACTTGACAAAGTGGCGCTCACGAAAATTGCCTGTTTCTTTTTTATTTTTTTATTCTTCCTCTCCATCTTCTTTTATTTTTTCACCCTCACTTGCAAGATTAGTTTTCGGTCTAATGGGAATCATCCTGAGCAAACGCCCTAAAGTCATGTCTGAGGCTGAACATCTTGCATTTTTTTTATGCCAAGTCTCCATATTTCCAGTCGGTCCCGCTTGGTTATGCGCCGTTACCGTTGACCTTGCCAAGAGGTGTGTATTTCTCCCTTTACTGAGCAAATGTCCCAAAGGCTTCAGAGGTGGTGCATGCAAATCAGATGCTCTGCCTACAGGGTTTCAGTTTTAAAGAAACAGCCCATGTTTGGTTCAGTAAAGTCGTGACTGGAGCAAAGATCTCAGCCTCTGGGAGTTAGCGACTGAGGTGCCAGAGGCCAGTGTTTTAAATCTCTTGGGTGTTCAGCTCTGGTTTGTGGAGGATCTCCAATGATTTTGCCAAGCCGGAGGGTTTGTGTTCTCAAGTTGTGCAGGCTCAGCTTCCATCGTTATTTTAGTGATTGTTTTCGGACCCGTTTTTTGGCAGCTGAAAGAAAGAGCCAGTGATTATGCATGCATGAGAGGAAGCAGGATTTTCTTTCGATGCTGGGATGTTTCCTGCCCATGTCTGTGGGACGGCGGTGCAGATGTGCACTACAGAGTGGTGGAGTGGCAGGTGGGAAGGGGGCACAAAAGCATCCCGGTGCAAAAGAACAGCTCAAGTGTTTGAGAGCTGGAGGACAGGAGATTGTAATTGGGACACTGAGACGTGAAATGTGTCAGGGAGTGTGTGTGGGACGGATGGGGACTTTGTTTTTGGGGTTTGGTGTTTGATCGTTGACTTCGGTAACAATAAAAGTAAGAAGGGATCTTGGTATTTGAGTGGTGGTTGATTTCTCAAAGGGATTGAGTGGTGTTATTGAGTAGGGCTGTGCAACATATCCAAATATTTCAAATGTTCAAGTAATAAAGGTTTGAGTGATTTAACGCAAAAGCTGATTATGTTAAAGACTTTTCAGCATATCAGGAAATGCAGTTACATTTCAATGTGCATCTCTGAAACCAAGCAGAAAGGACATGCTGGATTTCTTGTACACCGCAAAAAAGAAAGCTCCTTTTCAAGTTTTATTTTGTTTACCTGATTGTTCTTGGTGTTTTCAGGTTGATAAAACTATATCAGTGGAGCAAAGTTGTGGTTATATTTATTTTAGTTTGTTTACACATTGTTAAAATTGATTATTTGTTTTGTGCAACAGAAAAACATGGCTGTCCACGCTCAGAATTTAGCTTTTTTTTTAACCCCCTGAATAATACAAAACAATTGTTGATATTACATTTTTTACAATTGTTGTTTTATTTCGCATGCCATCATATTTTTCTTCAATTCTGCACAACATTAAGAGATCAAAGGGGCTGATATATAACTGATGTGGCTGTGAGCAATATTGAAAGAAATTATATCATATATTTTTGTGTATTTTAATGTGTGTTTTTGTGCCAGTAATTTGACTAGTTATGCTTGTCATGGATAAATATAACACTAAAGAATTTGCTTCTAGAATGTGGCAGCAACTCATGTGTGATTAATCGAATCATTCATTCAGGCGATAAATTCAAACTTGCTGATTCATCTTGAAGCCAACCATAAATTAATCATTGACTCACTCGATTCATTCAAAAACACATTTTTAGGGCTGGGTGATTTGGCCTAAAATCAAAATCTCGATTAATTTAACATTTTAACTCAATTACAATTAATGAATGATTATTTTATTATTTTTTTGTTTTTGCCCTCATAGATCACTGACAAGTTTTTTTTTTTTTTTTACAGTAAATATGCTTTTTTTTAA